TGTGATAGTGGGTTTTTCCATTTTGTAGGAAGGTCCAAGTGGCGTATTCAAAATTCTTAACAGTTCACTAAAAGTAGGTACTTCAGTTGCAAGATGCAGTTTATTGTGTATACTAGTGTTATGGAAAATTTGGAAGTGCCGTGTAAACGCCGAAAAATTGGTCCTATAACAGTTAATAAAAAACATTAATATTTAATTATTTTAAATCATTTACAGACAAACGTTTATGTGAAAGTGTTGATGAGACCGTTGAGTTAGTTAGCAGTACACTTGGTGTTGGGAAATCTACGATTTACAGAGTTATTAAAGAAGAGAAATGTGGTAGTTTTCAAATGCCACGTAATGCTCCAGGGAAACCAAAATTTCAAATAGAATATCATTTTAAAGAAGGACTTCGACGGAAAGTGCATGAATTCTTCTTTAGACAAGAATTTCCAACATTGGATAAAGTTCTTGTCTCAGTTCGAGATGATAAGGATTACCAAGAAATGAGTCGAAGTACGTTATGGAAACTTTTAAAAGAAATAGGCTTCCGCTGGAAAAAGAATCCCAGAAAGTCTATTTTATTAGAAAGAAGCGATATTGTCATATGGAGAAGACATTTTCTAAGAACCATAAAGGAAATGAGAAACCAAAAAAGAAAAATATTTTATCTTGATGAAACATGGATCAACGAGGGTCATACACCAAATAAATTTTGGCAGGATGAAACTGTTACAAGTCAAAGGCACGCTTTTGTAAATAACTTATCTACTGGTTTAAACCCACCATCAGGAAAGGGACGCAGGCTGATAATAGTACACATTGGCAGTTCAGACGGTTTTGTTGAAGGTGGTTTATTAACTTTTGAACCAACTCGTACCGGTGACTACCATGAAGACATGAACGCTGATGTCTTTCAAGAATGGTTCGAACAAATGATAGATCTTCTTCCTAAGAACTGTGTAATAGTAATGGATAATGCAAGTTATCACTCCAGACTTATAGAAGGACTGCCCACAACCAAGTGGTTAAACAAAAACTTGCAGAATTGGCTGAGTTCAAAAAATATTACGTACCATCCCGGATCTATAAGAAAGAAACTTTATTCGTTGTATGCCCTTCATAAAGAAAAATTTAAAAATACGAAATTGATGAAATTGACAAAAATCGTGGAATGACAGTACTTAGATCCCCACCATATCATTATGAATTAAACCCGATTGAACTGGTATGGGCACAGATAAAGAGTGAAGTTTCAAGAACAAATACCACTTTTAAAATTCATGATGTTAAACAGTTGTTTTTGGAGGCCGTAAATAATGTAAAACCTGAAAACTGGGAAAAATCAGTAAATCACACTATTAAAGAAGAGGAAAAAATGTGGAAGCTGGACAATATTACTGATAAAATGATCGAGCCAGTTATTATAAATCTTGGTTCTGAAAGTTCATCTTCTGAATCTGATTTGGATTTGTAACAAGTAGCTGTAAGTTTTATATTAATATTTTTATTCATCTATTTAACATTCCTTAGACGGTTTTAAAAACTCTTTTTCTCTTTTGTAATTTTTAAAAATTAAAAAAAATGTGAATTTTTTAAAACCCTTTTTAATGTAGGCCAGTCAGTTCTAATATAGTGTGTGATAAAAGAGGTCACTTTTGTTTACATACACATAACACTTTATAACACTGAAATAATTCATTTATTTTTTACAATTATTCAAAGTAATTTTTCAATTAATCTTGAGCACGCCCATGGAGTGGTCGGTGATACCAGTTAAAATTATGCTAATTACTCTCTCGTTCATAAAAATAAACTATAGGAAAAATAAATATAACAATCACTACACAAGGCAAGAGAAATATAAAAGTAGAAGAAAAGTTAAACATAGAAAACTTAGAAGAAGAAGGGACAAAAAACTTGTATAGAAACAGACTAACAGAAAAGCTAAATAGCCATAACCTAGAGACTAAAAAGAATATAGAAGAAACCTGGAAAATTATTAATAGATGTATCCTACAAGCAGCGGAAGAACCTTTAGGTAAAAGAAAAGTTAACACAAACAAACGGGAATACAAATCTCCATGGTGCGACGAAATGGTGAAAGAACTAGCAAATGAAAAGAAACAAGCTTTCATAACATAGTTTCTCCTCCAACTCGTCAATAACTAAGCCTTAATGATCCTAAGATCCTAAGTCTTCTTCTTCTTCTTCAAGTGCCGTCTCCATCAATGGAGGTTAGCGGTTATGGTGGCAAACGTTTGTCTATCTTCAGCTGTTCTTAAGAGTTCCTCAAATCCAAGTCCAAGATCCTAAGTCTATTAGGTCTTTATCTTGATCACATTCACATACTCTCTTTTCATTTTTTGATGATTCTAGAGATTTATTTACTGAGTGTATAATTTTATATTCTTTTTACAGTTTATTAAATTTACACAGGCTTTCTGTTTTAATTTGCTTTCCCCATAATGTCATGTCAAAAGTCTGAGTCTTATGTCTTGGGTCTAAAATTAAATAGATACAATAAATTCAGTTGCTCTTCTTTTAATGTTCAAGCGATTTGTCTCGAGCTCCTGAAAAACCCAGACTGAGTCTTTTATCCACTTCAGGTCGATTAGATTTCTCATCTAATTGTTTTATGATGGATTCCATTTGAATTCCATCTCTTTGGACAGTTGCTTCACAAGCACACTGAAACTTCCTCTTCAATAAATACTGTACGTACGTGAGTCAGCAATATTTGGCGTATATTCTTAATCTTACTCAGTTTCGTATTCATCGGCTTCATACTGCTGTTCTTGTCTATTATTGTCAGTTTCACTGTGTAATGCAAAGATCTTTAATAGATCTTTAAACCAAGGTTCAAAATATGAGCAAAGCACCGGAAATATTGATTGTCTGAATCAAAGTGTGGCAGCTATTTTCTCAGTTCATACATACATTTGGTATTTGCAGTTGCGTTGTCGATATTTTATTTTTACAATATAAATATGACCTTTGAGTACGTGTCAAATATGTCAAGTGTCCTTTTAATGAATATTTTGATTCGCTATGTATGGTTATCATATATGGTTTCAAATTTTTGTTAGGAATTTTTTTGTGTCTTATAGAGTCTCTAAGCATATACCCGAACTACTATACTCCCTAAAATGACACTCAGTCCTAACTGCAAGACTGAAGAGTCTCGCAAGTTTGGTCTTGTTCTCGCTCAAATCTTGCACGGTCAGTCTTGGTCTTGATCTCGCTAAAAATAGGCAACTGCAGCATAGCAATACTGCAAGACCAAGACCCATTTTGGGCAACACTACCTGAAACAATCAACTATATATTATACGACTAAGAGGCACTAGATTGCAGGGGCAAACACTTTTTAAAGACTACTAAGTGACTTTAAAGAAATATGATACCCATCTGATGATAGTACAAAATGGTAAATGGTTCTAGAATCCTGGAATAGAAAAACGATTTTGTTTTGTCTTGTGTTTGTATATGATTGACTGTCTCTCGTATTGTCTGTTATATTATTAATTTGGTTACAAGTCGAAGATCTGTCGAATTTCACGGTACATAATCACACACGAAGTATACTTCTTTAATTATATATTTTTGTCATCTAATAATCAGCTTAATTTATATCAGTTTCTCATTTATGACCATTGTATTTCCTTAGTTCTTTGTGTACTATTTTTTTTTATTTTATTATTGTATATTTTATATCTTGTAAAAAGTGAGCTGCCCACATGCCTAAAGAGAAAGGTATTTGATCAGTGCGTCCTCCCAGTCTTGACGTACGGAGCAGAAACACTTATCTTAACAAAAGCCGCAGCTACCCAACTGAGAGTTACGCAGAGAAGAATGGAGCGGTCCATGTTAGGAATAACTCTGCGAGACAGAATAACCAACGAAGACATCAGAAGAACCCGAGTGACTGACATCATCGAGAAGATGCCAGACTAAAATGAAGATGGGCAGGACACATAGCCAGAATGACAGATGGGCGATGGACAAAGAGGTTATTGGAATGGAGGCCAAGGGAAGACAAGAGAAGCGTCGGTCGACCACCTACAAGATGGACTGACGATTTGAGAAGACTCAATAAAAACTGGATAAGAGCGGCGCAAGATGAACGAGGTTGGAAACACAAGTAAGAGGCCTATGTTCAGCAGTGGACTCTTGAGGCTGAATGATGATGATATCTTGTTTGGCTTGTTTATCTTCTGGCACCTGGCTGTCGAATAATACTAACAAACACCTGTATTATATATAGTATTTCTATAAATCGTCATTATAGGGGATAATCCAGGGTGATAAATGTCGAAGTGAACATGGTCCAATGTTTTCGAACTGTTGACCAAACTTTGTTCGTTCAAAGTTTCAAAATTCATGATCATCTCTCGTAGCGTATTTCGCCGTTTGTTAATTTTTTATCATTTCAGCTCCTTTTACTTTGCTGTTTTACATATTCTGATTAATTACTTTTCAATACACATCGACAGCGATATATCTTTTGTCAGTCGGTTTATTATGTCAAAATTTCAATTTCAATTAATGCTTTTATGATTCACCTCACAAGTACATACACAATTGCCGCAAATTAATTTGTCATATATCTACTTAATGACTGGAACAAGAGGAAATTTCTAAATTCGACACCTACATACGCGTTACACCCTTTAACTAAATACAGCCAATTATCGAACAGAGTGCAGGTGTTTCATTTCAATGTGAGGTAGAAAACTACCATTCAGTATACCGCCACCAATAAATCCAGGAACAAATTTAGAATCACGTACATATGAATTCGATTTATGTCTGGTGTTGTTCCTCATACGGCACTTAATTGTATGCTTTACATAATAAGGAACTATTGATGCGTCCTTAGCAAAATTTAAAGAAAAGTTCGTGAGAAAATGGTAATTTTGTCGACTAACTTACAAAAGATGTGAATCTATAATAAATTTTGTTAAACGTAATACAACAGTCTGTTTTAGCTCTAATTTTATATATTTTTTACAGCTATGGAAGAAGTCCTATCAGAGGGAAAAAATTTCAAGTTGGTAGACGAATCAGAGCTTCCAGATATAATTGACTTCCTGGCTAATTATTTACCGGATTCTATTAAGGTAAGCAAATAATACTGCTCCATTAACGAATACAAATATAAATGCGTTAATGATAATTTCAGTTTCATCAGACGCTGAAGACTTATCTTAAAGATCGGGTTTGGGATTTTCATTTTTACGTCACGAAAACGTGGCCGGAACAGGCTGTGATTTTACATTTTCCAGGAATGACCCTAACGGTGAGTGATATAATTTAAAATTAGAATAGTAGGTACAGTCTCTCTTTATTACAAGAGGGCGACTGTATGTAACAACAGTAATTCTAATAATATTTAAGTTTCGATAGCGACATAAAAAGTACCATACGTAATCTAGCGTGGTTTTCGAGTAGACATGAAATGCATTCAAAGGGTTACTTGCCTCCTTGTGTTTGTATATATAATAAAACTCATTCATTCTTTAGAAACCAAAATCGACCCTACGATCTTTTAGAGAAATAAATTGTATCATAGTCATTTCATCGCAATTATTAATATTATCAGGAATTAAGGTTTTATTAATTGAGAACTTAATTATTAGAGAACATTTAGTCAGTGATCTTCTTTGCTGTTTCTAAAATGTTTTAAATTTTATAGCATCCTAAAGTATTTAGCGAGAATAGTTCGGTAAAAGAAAATGTAACGAAATTATAAGGTAACACCCATTTCTTTTAGATACTGCCTTTTTGATATTTCCATGGAATCTTTTAGATATTTCCATGGAAAGTGGCCAGCACAGTCATGATTCTCAAACAAGGAAAAACCCTCACTAACCCTGAATCGTACAGCCCTATTTCTTTATTGAGCACCCTAGGTAAAGTCTACGAGAGGATCCTTAAGGACAGACTCGTAGACTTCCTAGACGCTCACCTTGCCATTCCAGACTACAATTCGGATTCATGGCTGAACACTCCAAGCAAAATGCATTGGTTAAAGCCACAACTTTCAATTCACAATCACTTAACGAAAGGAAGCACGTCATAGGCTTATTCCAAGGCGTCTAGAAGGCATTCGATCAGGTCTGGCATACAGGCCTGGTCGAAAAACTCCACCTTGCTGGATTGCCCACACCTTTTGTTAAACTAATAAATTCCTATCTGTCTTATCGGACGATCAGGATCAAAGTGGGCGATATGTTATCTACACTCTTCACTCCACAAGGTGGAGTATTCCACAATTCTTGCTCCAATACTATACAGTCTATAGTATAATACTCTTTATGTCAGGACCACATAGAGAGCGTGAACAATTGTCTCTATTCGAAAGAGCCCAAAATTGTTTAGACAGAGTCATTAGGTGGTGCAATAAATGGAGTGTGACCATAAATCCCTCCAAAACACAATTAATTTTATTTAAATCTTCAAATTGTCGCGATGTCCAAGGCCCAATAACTCTGTTAGGAGAGGACCTTATTCTCAGAAACTCATTGTTAGTTTATTAATATTTGGTATATTATTCAACTCTAAAATAGGCTTTTTATTATCTTTTATTTTAAGATACATTAAATACTCTTAAAAAAAACTTACTAATTATTGTCTCTACACTCTACACCTTAGGCAACCAACGATGCTCACGTTAGTGGTAGGTATATCATATTACAACAATCATTTACATTTAAAAGCATTACCCTTAAAAACCTAATCATTGATATACTTGAAAATATGAACCTTGCACTTGTTTACTTTTTTAAATTTTCCTTGAGAGTACCTGCAATTGTATTCATACCCTTATTGTATAAATAAATTAGATGCTCGAATAAAAATAACAAATAAAAAAGCAATACCTGCACTTGCAAGCAATTATTTGCAAATTGTGAGAATCGATTGGTTATGGCTGGATTGAATTAAATAATGAATGAATTATGCTCTCAATAATAATTTTATAGTATATTGTTACCTACTTTAGATAATATATCGAACGATAGAATTTGTATATGGTATTTATATAATCAATCTATTGATATTATATTCCAAACAAACTTATAAGCACGGTTTTTGTCTTTTTATACCCATAATTAGCACCAAGTCTTACCACCAGCACCTTCCATAAGAGGAACCACTAACGATTTTTGAAGTTAACGATGCAGTTAAAAAACTAACCAAAAACAATTCACCCTGAATAGATAATCTTTCAGCTGAACTATATAAAGAAGGTGGTCATAATATCATAATGACATTATAGCAGCTTATAAAATAAATATTGACACAGAAATCCCTCCCCAATCATTGGAATATTGAAATACTTAATTTGCATCATACACAAAAAAATCTTTGAATGCTCTAACCACAGAGGAATTACACTTCTAGATGCAGCGGTATAAAATATTTTCCACAGCAGTACGTCACGGTATGGCACCAAATGCAGAACGGATAGTAGGAAAATACCAGGCTGGTTGTATATACCATGTTTATGATTGACAAGCTTTCTGGATACGTAAATAAGTAGACATCGGGCAGAAAATTGCACAAAGTTTGTGACAGCAAAGTTATTACCAAAGATATCAAATTTGCTTGGATATCAATATCAAAAAATCGAAAATATCAAGCGAGTCCAAAATGTCACTACGTATTTACTGGAAATTACTATCATTACGAAAATCTCTGAGATTTTGCAACAGTTTTGTTATTCTATTTTTGAAATGAATAATGTCAGTTAACTAATTTTGAACAACATTGAATATCAAATCAATGTGGTAAACAGTTTCTTAAAAATAATTAAAAGTATGCTAAAAAAGTAATCATTTAATAAAGTTTTCAAACTGATTGCTTTACGGATCGAGATATCATCACTTTCAAAATCGTCGTAATCAATAATAAAATCAAAAACTTCCAAAAGCTGTTCACGAAAATCTGCTACAGTAAAAACTAATGGAGATTTAAAATTCTATCACGTCTGAAAAACTGTTGGCATTTTTTTCGAAACAAACTGTTCTAAAACATTAGTCCGCTAAGGCGAGCTTGAGAAAAATGAAGCAAATCCGCGTAAACTGGCAAAAAAGATATCCTGCAAAACTAAATTCATTCTATGCGCATGACAGTGAGTAAATAAAGCTTGCGGTGAAATAGTTTTAACTTTCGCCTGCTTTCGCCTAGAGACCATTTAATTCACCAGACATCACGGCAGCCCGTCATAAGTGTGCCCTACCAATCTATTTTTGATATAAAAAAATTTTACTCATGTCTGTAAAACCTAAAATTCTCTCATAAATATTACCACGTAATGCGTATCGAACAATAATTGATAATGGTGAATGACATGATATAGTATAGGTAGTTTCATCTACTTCTAGTGAAAAGCAAATGGTTTCCTGACTCTCAGATTCAATAATGTTACTCAAAATGTAACTAATTGATTCTAGTAATACATAGTAAATTAGAAAATTCCAAATCGTATTTCTTAAACATTTTTATTAATTCTCTATAATTACCTTGATTTAACGAATGCTCCGATTCATCGTGTCCCCCAAAATTATAATTATAATTCCTGACAACTTAAATAATTACAATCTCAATTAAACGACGTAAAACTGCGTGATTATTTTCTACAATTTCGTTATGTTTAATATCATTTTCACGTTGGGCATTAATCTGGCTGTATGTATGATCTTTCGAAATATCGTGTTTCTGTAAAGCACTAAATAATTCCTTTAAATTATCGTAACCAGATTCACAGCACCGATTTTGATATTTGCCAATATTTTTTTCGAAAATAAAATCCACGGCAAAAAAAGCCATGAGTACTTGCTGTACCAATTATCTGAAAATGATCTATTACTTCTCTTAACCTCAGCGCTAATTTTTTAAGCCGGGACATTTTAGGCAAAGGACGGACATTTTATTTTTAATAACAATTTGTTCTTCGTATGGAATAGATGAAAACCCATTTTGCATAATTTGCAATATCAGATTTACCAATACTTACAGTTTCTCCCAGTGGTAACGTATCACAGTATTACTTTAGAAAATAAAAATAAATCCCAGAAAGAAAAGACAGTCCGTGCACTCAATATCACTTTACTACTTAAGTTCTTAAGAACTTCCTCCTCCTCAATCCTTTAGCCCTTGTCAGGGCGTAGTGACACCCTAAATATTATTAGTCTGCTGTCTCCATTGACTGCGATCTTGTGCCATATGGACGGCTTCATGTAGGGATTTTCTTAAGAACTTATCTACCCCGAAATAACATTTCATCCCGCGCTCACAAGGTACAGTTTGCGGCCAATCCAAATGAGGAATCGGCAAATTTAAATTTGCCATAATTGGCAATTAAATGCGTAAGGACCGAAATGTATGTTTGGTTGCTCATCAACTAATATTCCGTTGATTTTTACATGTTATCGTCAAGCTTACATTACTACTTACTTACTTACTTACTTACTTACTTTACATGTTACCAAGAGAACGACTTTTCACACCATGCTGAACACGGATGGCAAACTGCTAGAATCAACGGAAGATAAACTGAAAGAATGGGAAAACTATATTAAAATTCTTTTTCACGACATACAAGAAGAACCAAGATTGGAAAATAACAACGAAGGGCCAATAATTCTGAAATCTGAAAACATAAATGCAATTAATCATCTCAAAACAAATAAAAGCCCAGGTCCAGACGGAATATACCCAGAAACGTTAAAATTAATCAGCGAAGAAAATATCGAAATATTTGTCCCTTTATTCAATCGCATTTATGATACAGGTAAAATACCCCAAGATTGGCTGGAGTCAATATTCATCCCACTACCAAAAACGCCAAACCCACAACATTGCAATGAGTTCCGTCTGATAATGAGTCATGCAGTAAAAGTCCTACTAAAAATCGTACATAATCGTATTTATAGAAAGTGCGAAACAATCATAGGAAACGATCAGTTTGGATTCAGAGCCGGCATGGGAATGAGAGAAGCCCTGTTCAGTTTACTAGTTCTCGCCCAAAAATGCTTCGACCAACAGAAAGATATATTTATATGCTTTATAGACTTCCAAAAAGCATTTGATAGAATAAGACACAACCTACTATTAG